CCCCCCGCCACGGTCGGATGCTTGAGCACGCCTCCTGCCAGTAACAACCCCAACAATCGCCAGGCACCCAACACACGCACGCACACATACACATAACAGCATCACACACACACACATTGCGCCATCACAAACACACATCGCAGCATCACACCCACCTGCTTAAACGCCAGCTCAGCCTTGACCTGCGCGACCACCACCCCCGGCTTGTCTTTGCCCAGGGAACCCAGCGCCTTCTGCAGCGACGCCTGCACCTCGGCCGCCGTGGCCGCCGCCGCGTCCGCGCCCGCCTGCAGCTTCTCCCTCACGATCGTGAGGTTCTTCAGTTGAGGGATCGCCTTGGCCACCTGCTGCACCAGCGCCACCACCCCCTCGGGCACGACCTGCCCGCCCGCGGCCGCGGCCGCCTCCGTGCCCGGCGGCGCCGCGCCGAGCGTCTTGAGGGCAGAGTTGACCGCGGTCTGGTAGCTGGTGGTGGCCGAGGTGGCCAGCTCCTGCTTGTGCGCGGCCTCGGCCTGCAGCCGCTTGACCTCGCTGCTGGCGGCGGTGGCATTGGCCTCGGCGGCCAGGATTGCCTCCTTCTGATGCTTGTACTTGGCCTGTTGGTGGGCGTGGTGGCGGTGGTTTTTGTTGGGGGGGAAGTTGTTGGATGGCTTATGTGATTAAGTGATGGGAATGGTGGATGAGGGGAGCGTGCGGGTAGGCTGGAATGCTGGCCCGCCCACCTCCTGGATATATGTTGGACATTTAATCTGCCTCTCAATTTGCCCTGCGGACGCGTCACCCGCCCAGCGCGCCAGCTCAATCAGCAAACCCCTGACTCGCACGTGCTGGCCCCTGCAGGAATCACCGTCCCCGCGCCGCCCCTTGGGCCCCCAGGCTCATTTGTCGACCGTATACCTGGAGTGCATCAGTCTCGTTGAGGGCGAGGTTGAGGATCATCTTGATGCCCCCCATCTTCGCCTCCGCAAAGTCCTGCACCAGCGCCACCTTGCGTAGCCCCGCCTCCGCGACCGCCTTGAGCGCCTCGGCGTCGGCCACCCTGCGGGACGCCATTTCAAAGTCCGCTTTCGCCTCTATGATCGCCTCATCGATCAGCACCATCTGCTTATCCTTGTCGCCGGACGCGCGCGTCTTGTTGCCGAGGTCCGTGATCTGATCCAGCAGCGACTTCTTCTCCAGCTCGACCTTGACCAACGCCGCGACCGCGTCCTCCGCGGCCTGGACCTTGGCGCGCGCCTCGTCCTCCACGCTCGTGGCGGCGGCCGTGGCGGCCATGCTGCTGTTGAGCTGCCCCTGGAGCGCGTAGGCGGCGCTGCGCTGCAGCGACAGCGCGGCGCCGGCGAGCGACAGGCTGTTCTTTGCGGTGACGACGTCCTGCGACCGCATGTTTGAGGGGATGTGCAAAATCCACCGGGAAATAGGTTTGCACACAAGCCCTGCCAACAACTCCACCCGCCTCGTCTACTGCTCTGCTAGACCTGCCGGCTCACACAAGGCCACTTCAGAGTCCAAGCCACCTCAAAAACCCTGCTGCCACTGGATGCCGTTTCCCCATGTGTCCTCTCCCTCAACAGGGCAGGCCCACCTGCCCAAGCTGCAGCACTTTCTGGTTGGCGCGCGCCACCGCGGCCAGCAGCTCCTGGTACTGCGCCTGAAGCGTCTCGACCGCCGCCGCGCGCTGGCTGGCCAGCAGCGCAGCAGCATCGCGCTCCTTCTGGGAGGCGTCCACCTGGTTCTTGGCAAAGTACACCTCCAGGGCCGCCTTGCGGATGGCTTCCTTGGCCGCGATCGACTGCGATGTAAATTGATGTGGGCGGTTGCCGGCTCGGTGCCACTCGCGCCATTTTGCGCCGACCAGTCTGCAGGCTGCGCCGGAGTCTCCCATATAGGCTTGTGTGATTGGTGGTGCGTCTCACTACAGGACGTGCAGAAGTGAACATGTTGCTGTGCACTCAATACGCATATATCAAAATCAATTGCTCACCTGACTGGCGACCGATTCAGGCACATTGTCATTGGTCACAAACTCTGCCATCTTGGCCAGCTGGATGATGACGTCACCATACAGTCACATCCATGTCAGCAGGGAGTTTGCAGCATGATCAATGCGTACAACATAAGGGCATGGATTATATGCTTTCCTTCGTCAGCGAACACACACGTGCTGTTCACGTGTGTCCTGCACAACGGGCCAGGCCGCAAGCACAACGGCTCGCTAGCGCAACACTTGCACTCCCATCCCGGAAGGCATCACTGGACATGCCGAGCTGCCGGGTCACCTAAAACAGGCCTGCAGCGACGCCTCCATCCTCTACACAAGCCACTGCAGAGCTACAAGCACAGCCCTCCTCCCGCGCGACGTCTCCACAACCCAAGCCCCCCTGCACCCCCGGCCCCGTGGGCCCCCAAGGCGCCGCACCTGCTTGAGCTGGGCGTCCACTCCCTCAGAGTCAGCAGACCCCAGCGCCGCGTCCACCGCGTCCTCCGCCGCGTTCCACGCCGCCTCTGCCGCCGCCGCCGCGTTGTCCGCCTCCACAACCTTCTGGTCCGCCGCCCTCACCGCCTGCAGCGCCGCCTGCGCCTCGGCCGTCAGGTTGTTGACCCGCTGCTGCAGCGCCTGCACGCCTTCCGCGAAGCCGCCGCCGCCGGTCAGGCGCTCCACCAGCTGCTCGGCCGCCGCAAGCTTGGCGGGCGCGCCCAGCACCTCGGCGCGCTTCTCTGAGAGGGTCGCCGCGGCTGCCGCCAGCGTCGCATTGGCGGCGGCCTCAGCAGCGCGTGTCTCGTTGAGTGTCTTCTGCGCAGCCTGCGGGTGTGTACGCGCATATGTGCCAGAAGTTTGTGGGCTCATAAGACTCCGGCACAGGTATGCGGCGTGGCACCTCGGGCAGCAGGCGCCCTTGGACGGCCACTCAGGCCACACATGCCTGCAGTCTCAGCATCTCCTATGCAGCACACAGCTCTGAATCCCGATCAACACCACCGCGCCCACCGTGAGCTTCGCCTTCGCCGCCTTGATGCCCGCGCTTGCCGCCAGCATGGCAGACCCCTTGGCCGCGCCCTGCGCATGCTTGAGAGCCGCCTCCGCCGCCGAGAGTGCCGCCTGCTCGCGCTGCACCACCAGCCCCGCGGCGGCCGCCGCGTCGCGCGCCGCAGAGTAGGTTCCCTGCATACCTTGGATTGTGTACTTGGCCTGCTCAACCTGGTGGGCGCCCGTGGCGACGAGGTTCCCGAGGTCTGCGGCGGCGCGCCGCGCGGCGGCGAGGTCGATGTCCGACCCCGCCGACTTGGCGCGCGCGGTGGCCAGCGCCTGCTCCGCGGCCGCCAGTTTCGCGTTCGCCGCCTTGGACGCGGCGCGTGCGGCTTTGGCGGCCCCGGCCCCAAGCGCCGCGGCCTCCTTGGCCGCCTCGAGCGCTTTGTCCGCAGCCGCCTTCTGCGCAACCGCGCCGTCCAGCGCCTGCTGCGCCGCCGCGAGCCGCGCTTTGGCCGACGACAGCGCCCGGTGCGCGGCGACGCTGGTGCTGTTGGCGAGCGCGACCTCCGCGCGCAGCGTCGCCTCGCGCGACCGCGCGAGCGACAGCTGCGCGTGCTGTACGGCCAGCGCCTTCTCGAGGCTCGACAGCTGCCTGGCCGCGGTGTCCGACGCGGCGCGCGCGCTCTCGAGGCTCTTGCCCGCCGCGTCGGCCTCGGCCGTAAGCGCGCCCAGCGTGTCGTTCGCGGCCTTGGCGGCGGCCCTGAGGTCGTCCAGCTGCTCGGCGGCCGCCTCCAGCGCCTGCGCGGCCTGCAGCCGGCTGCTGGTCGCGCCGCTCAGGCGCAGCTGGACCTTCTGCTTCGCGGCCGCCGCGCTGGCGGCGGCCTTCTGGGCGGACACCACGTCGGCGCGGGTGAAGTCGACCTTCATGCGGGACGCGGCCAGCTCGGCCTGCCTCTCTGCAGGGTCGCAGGCGAAAATGTGCGGTGGTGCAGGTTCAAGGGTGCGGCGGGCCTCTGATTACTTGCAAGGCAGCGGTTTGTGCACGAGCGGCTGCACAGCGGCTCCGCCAGGTGTGATGGTACCGCAAACAATTTATAATTTCCCTCCTGCTGCAAGGGTCCTGGGCCGCTGGCTGACCGTCTGCGTGCCAGCGACTCACTCCAGACTTCGCCCGATGCCGCCGTCAGCGTCAGCCGGGCCTGCGACAGGCTGATCTCGGCGGCCTGGCACGCCTGGATGCCAGAGATCGACGAATTGAAGGTCTTGGATATCTGCAGGACAGCATAGTCGAATGTTGTACAGTGACCGCGACTAAGACTGGCAGGATTTGGAAGTGCTTTGCCCTACCCCCAGATTGGCCGACGCACGTTGACAGCAAGTAGTCACAAACGCCCTTATCGAGACCTGCAGCGGCGCATGCCGCTCATGACCCAGCGAGCTTCCGCATGAGTGCATGCCGATGTCTATAAATCCCTCCACCACAGCTCACTTCAGCCAATTTGCCGGCCAGGCCGCTGAGCTTGAACTTGCCCCACGTGCTCTCTGCGTGCCCCTCGCAGCACAGCGCCGCTGTTCCACGGCGGCCAGAACGACGTGTGAATGGATTTGATCAGTTTTGTCAAGTAATTCAAGATTTTGTGTGCAAGCGGATTGCCAAAACCCCGCGGCCTGACTCACCGACGAGTACCAACAGGGCCAGCGCGCGCCCCGGAGGGGCTTTGCGCCCCATGTCTGTGCCAAGTTCACCACCAGATGTGTATCCTCTATCAGTAATGAGTGCTGGTGCCTACTCCCCGTGCCAAACGTGCCCAAGTGGCGAGCGAAGATGCTCGACGAGCGGTCCTGGTCTAGTATGCCGCGATATTCGCGCATAAGAATGAGCAAATGCACTGATCACGATCAGCTAGCAAGCTCAAACACAGCCGGGTGGCATGCCTATGGTTGCCAGGATGTTGCAGAGCAGCTGCCGTTTTACTGTCTCCTGCCGGCAGCGCGCCATGCAGCAAGCGCGCGCCTGCCACACCATCGTCATGCACGCTGCTACTGCATGTGCGCGCCCTCAAACGATGCACGCCAATTTACTCCATCTGCTTGCGTGCCCGGCGCGGCGTCGGGGGGGGGGGTGATCGATGGAAACCATGAGGCACGTTCTTTTGTCAGCTCCCCTCTCATTGTACCCCTTTGGGCCTGCCGACTTGCCGCACATCGTCTCAGGCTCCTCAGTAGCCATGAGTTTCAACATGCATCTGGCTTGCTGCCCAAAGACTCCAGAAAAAAGGGATGAAACAAGGAAAACGATTGACTCTCTCCAACACAGCAAAGCCTTGCAGGCCGCACGGCACACGATTACTTGAGCCTGCGGGGCGTAGCAACGTCGGAGTGTTGCAGTGACCACCAGAAACAAGCGTTCTCAGCCGGCGCTGCAGCAAGCTGGCGTCAAGGCCAGACAGAATCCAGGGGTGAGCGAACCGGAGCGGAGCATATGGAGCGGGGCCAAGTGGTCGATCAAGGTCTGTCAGAGCTTTAAAGCCAACTCACTTTCTCAGGACATACTTCTCCCTGATCTGGCGCTGCGTCATCAACAGCTTGTCAACGGGCGCAACCTGCATAAGGAGGGGCCGCGAGGGTGATTCACGTGAGGCGACTCGGAGCGCGACAGGGAGTGCGCAGGCACAGACAGGGATGGCAGGCACGCGGATGCCTGGGCCGCCGCATGCCTCGCGAGGCCGGGCCCGAGGGGACCAGCAGCCGCGCTGCAAGGCACACGGGCAGCTGCCTCGTCACGCCATGGGCCGCAAACAGATGGCAGCCGCCTGCCACGGCGCCGTGCCCTGCCGCGTCGTGCCCAGGGCGCCCCCTTGCGGCTCACGTCGGCCCATGGGATTTTCCGGGAGGCCTGCAAGGGCGCGTGCGGTGGGCGGCGATAGGTGGGGGTTGATGGGGCAGGCACAGGGGTGCACCCTGCAAAGCCACCTGAAAGTGGCGAGGAGGCGGGCAAACCCCTGGAAAAAACAGTATTTCCTTGCGAAGTGTAATCACACACATCATCAATGAGCGTGTATCGCTTCACGCTCATGGCTGGGCTCAGCAAGCCCCGCCGCCACTGCCACCGCCGCTGCAGCAGTGCAACCCGACATGCACAGCGTGAGCAGCCAGCCTGCAGCTGCCGCTGCCGGCCTGTCGGCCTGTCGGCTCACCCTGTACTCCGCTATGAGCTGCGGCATCTTGGCCATGGCGTCCTTGATGCGCGCCTGCCTGTCGCGCCGCTCCACCTCGCGCTTGTGGCCCTTCTGGCGGCCGTCTCGGTACGGCAGGTCATTCTTAGGTATGCCTGGGACGATGTGCTCGTATGGCCAGTCCCTTTGTGTGCATGCGTGTGACGTTGTGTATGTTGTTGTGCGTGAGGCGGGCGAAGGGGTGAGAGTCGGCTGTGAAAGGGGCGCGAACCAGCCGTCCATATGAGCTGCGCGGTTGCGGGGGCAGGATTGAGTTGCAGCAGTAGCATCGTATTGATGCCATCTGCTGGACTCTCGCGACCCCTATGCCCCACCTATGGCTACAGGAAGCGGGGTGCGGGCAGTGGCGCATCTTGCAAGCCATGACTGCGAAAGGCATGGCCTGGGCTCTGCACGCTGGGCCTCTCGATACTCACTTGCCCTCCGCCAGCCACTGGTGCCGGACTTCCATCGCCTTGCGGCGTGACACGATGGGCGGCAGCCAAATGTTGGCATTCGTGCCAACCTTGCGCACACGCAGCGCCGCCTCGCCCAACCTGCGAAGGATGTGTGCCATGCTGCCGCTTAGCGGCCGCTGTCGCCGCTGCCCTGCTGCCGTTCCTCGCCAATCAGTTGCTGACACCAGGCCTATGTGTGCCCCGCTGCGGTGATCTGAGGGCACAATGATCAAGGCCGCGTGTGCAAGGTCGGATGATGGCAGCGTTGATGCGAGTTTTAGACTTGTACGATCGAAACCACTGTGCTCGATGTGTATTACCGTACTGACCTCAGCACAAGCAGCACACGTTCATCACTTTCAACGACAGCACCTTCACGCATACGCGGGCAGTCGCATTTTGTTATTCACAACCACTCGTTTGCTTGTAAAATGATACAGCTTCACCTAGGTTTTGGCACCCGTGATCTCTAGTCTTCACAAGTATCACCTGCCGCCTGCATCAGAAAAGGACGAAAGTGATCACACTTAACCTCAACTTGCCGATGGCGGCCGCCGCAGAGGCCCGTGCAGCGCTCCGCCGCCTGCTGCGCGCCATCGACGCGCGCCTGACGCGCGTCGCCGGGAACACACAATGGCGCGACTATGCTCTCCGCGAGTTCCGGCGCGGCGGGGCGAAAGCGCAGCGCAACCCGGCAGAGGTGCAGCAGGGGTTGCAGCTGGCAAGGGACTATGCTGAGCTCATTGACAACATACACCACCACCGGGTGGGTAGCACATGGGCAGGCGTCCTGGCCGCAGCCGCACATGTTGGCTGCCGTTGGGGAGCGCCGATGACGTCCAGGCGCGATATGCCACATTGCTTGCTTGACGAACTGAAGAGATTGGTGCTGTACCAGAAACGGCCTCTACTCCAGTGTAGGCCCCGCGGCAGCACGCCATGAGTGCTGCTACTGCCGCAGGGCTTTCTGGTCGACCTGCCCCCCACCGATGCCCTGCCCTGAACACGCACACGTCTGGGCACCCCCCTCTCATCGCCACTCAGGAGCTACTGAGGAGCTATAACCTGGGCCTGGACGGAGACGAGCGCAACAAGCGCATGGTGGAGGCCACTGCGCGGCGCGTTGGTTTCGCGATGCCGAACGAGGAGAAGCCGCCCCCACGGCGCAAGGGCGGTGCGGCGGGCCAGGGGCAGCTGCACGTGGCGGCTGGGGGGCAGGAGGGAGCGGCTAGCGGCGAGGGCTGGCAGCAGCAGCAGCAGCAGCAGCAGCAGCAGCAGCAGCAGCAGCAGCAGGAGGCAGCGTTGCAACAGCAGCCAGAACCGTCACCACAACAGCAGCAAGCTGCACCTGACGTTGGCACTGACGGCGGGACACCGCGCGCGGCGGCGGTTGGATAAGGCTGCAAAAAGAAACCCTTTGAATCTGTCAAAGCAGTGCTGCAAGACGCACTCTCTGCATACAGCTGTCGAATGCAACAGGACCAGACTAGTACCAGACATCATACATGGTAATGCTTCCAGGACTCAAGGTGGTGATGTATTACGCGACGCAATGCAGCCAGCGCGAAAGGCTCCACCCATGCTGGCAGCCCGCACAAACGCATGCCCCCTTCCCGTTCACTCGCCGTCTCCCTTGTCGCTGCCGCCGCCGCCATCTCCGCGGCCGTCGCGGGGACGCCCGACAGCGCCGCCCTCGCCAGAGCCCTTGGCCTCATGCTCAGTGGCGCCGCCCTCCCCGTTCTCTGCCGCCTCCACGCCCTCCTCCAGCCGCGCCTCCGCCTCTGCGCCAGCCTCGTGCCGCTCCTCCTTCTGCTTCGAGTCGCCCTTGGCGCCAGCGTCGTCGTCGCGCCCAGCGCTGGACGAGCGCCGCCTGAAACGTGGAAGGGGGCCACAAAAGCAGCGCAAGGGTTGTGTACTGGCAGTGGACCCGGCCGAAATTTATGCTCAGAAGCCGGCGGGGCAAGCGCAACTCATACCCGCTGGCGCTTGCATCACCGAGGCGCGCCACGCCGCTAAAAGTCATACGGCAAGCAGCTCCCGCCAGAACCCGCCAGTTGCCCCTCGCACACCTGCCCTCGGCCTCCGGCCTGGGGCTGAGAGACGCCCTGCGCTTGGGGCTGGCCCCCCTGTCCTTGTCGCGGCCGGCCGGGCTCCTGGCTGGGGAGCGGCTTTGGCTTTGGCTGCGGTTGCGGCTGCGGCTGCGGCTGCGGCTACGGCGGCGCTCCTTTTTGGACTTGCGTTCCTCCCTGGAGCGCTTGTGCTCCTTGCCGCGCTCCTCCTTGCGCGACCGCCCCTCCTTGCGGGAGCGCTCCTCCCTCTGCGGCCGCTCCTCCGCCCCGCGCTCATCGCGCCCCTGCCGCTCCTCCCCACGCGACCCCTCCGGCTCCCTGCGCGCCCGCTCCCTGCTGCCGCCCCTCCTGTCCCTGCCGCGGCTGCCGCTGCGGGCGCGCTCCCTGTCGCGCCGCCGGTCGCCGCTGCGGCTGCGCCGCCGCCGCCGCTCGCCGCTGCGGCTGCGGCTGCGGCTCCGCTTCTTGCCCCTATCAGACCTCGGCCCCTCGCGGTCCCGCTCGCGGTCGCGGTCGCGGTCGCGGCCGCCGCGGCCCCTGCTCCTGCTCCTGCTGCGGCTCCTGCCCCTGCTGCGCGTCTCGTCACCGCGGGCGAGGCCGCGGCCGCGGTCCCGTGCCTCCTCCACCGCCGCAGTCGTTGCATTCGGCTCCTCACCGCCCGCCGGCGGCGGGCCCGGCGGCGGCCCCGGGAGCGTCTCCCCTTTGTCGCGGTCCCACCGGCTGCCGCGCCCCGCCGCGCGCGGCGCGGCCGACAGCGCGGGCGGAGGCGGGTAGGAGGCAGCAAGCACCGCGGCCTGCGCGGCGAGCAAGGCGGCGCGCTCCCTCTCCGCCTCCTCGCGCTTGCGACGGATCGTCTCCTGCGCGGGGGGCGACGCGCCGAGCCTCAAGTCTTGGTTGGGTCGGTGCTAGCGGCCCGCCAGGGACGCACTTCCCCCCTCGCGTTTTGCAGACGACTGCGGCGCGTCCATGGCTTGAGATAACCCACATGAGCACTGCATTTGACTGAGATGCCCCTCCCGCCTGACACCACAAACCCACCCCAACCTACGCACAAAGGGCCCGCCACACCGACGAAATCCTCCCACCCGGCCAGCCGGCCGCACCCCGCTGACCTGTATCTCCGCCTCCGCCTCCCTCTTAACCCTGAGCTCCTCCGCCTTGGCGTCCAGCAGCTGCTGCGGCACGCCGGCCTCGTTGTTGCTGGCGCTGTGCAGCAGCGACCACAGCTCCTTCATGAAGAGGCCCGTGTTCTTCTCAAGGCACGGCTGCAGCTGCACGTGAAGAAGCTTCGGGTCCATCTGGCGGGCCGGCGGCCCCGACGAGGGGGCGGAGGGCGCCGCGGGAGGGGGGGTGCGGCGGCGCGGGAAGGGGGGCAGGGCGCGACTGGTGGGTGGGGCGGAAGGGGGTGCCGTCAGTGGGCAGCGGGAGGCTGAGGACAGGGCCCGGCAGGTGGCAGCAAGGAGGTGCAACAGCGTTCGCCCATCACTCCTAGAGGCGGCTAAGCAAGCTGCAAGCCGTGGTGCAGCAGCAGGCCTCCGGGTACATGCCTTGCCCCAACCATTCCTGTGGCTGCCTGCCCGGCTCCCTCCCTGACGCGCCTCTATCCTCCTTGACGCAAGCTCTCCTATGCCTCGGCCCTCCTCAGTGTCCCCCCTGCTGGTCTTCCCCTCACCCTTTCGTCGATGAGGTAGTTGTGAATAGTCCCAATCAGCAACTCCTCCTCAATGCCCAGCAGCTCCGTCACCCGCTTGGCGATCCACTCCTGGGGCGCGAGTCGAGTCGAGTGTGGGCAATGCTGACAGGGTCAACGACGGATGAAACATGAGCGGCCCTTGCAACAGGCCCCCTGAATGGGCCGGCCGCAAGAGCCCGGGGCTGAGCAGAGGTGCGCGATGGCCGCACCGCGGACTGGTGATGCTGTCGGTGGGTGCGCGGCGCAGAGCGCGAACGCGTCACGGATGCAGCAGCGATGGTTCCAGTGCGTCCTGGCTGCGCCCGCACCTTCATCACGGGCCAGTTGACGCGGTCGTAGTTCACCGACAGAGAGAGCTCAGCCGGGAACTTCATCTGCTTGAGCGCCTTCTTCTGCTTGCTACAGGCCAGGAGCAAAACACGGGGGGGAAGGGGGGGCAGGCGGATCAGGACAAAGCTTCTGCTGCTGTTGCGGGCAGTGGCCCTGCCAAAACACCTGCAGCCCCTATGTTGGCAACAAGGGACGCAATGAACATGAGCTACAGCACCTACTTGGAGAAGCGGGCATCCTGCTCGAGGCTGATGCCTCTGAAGCCACCAAGACCAGCCATTTCCCCGCCCAGAGGCAGCGTGGGCGCACGCCCGCTGCAATGGGGGACCTATGCAGCGCCTGGTGGAGGACTGGCGGCCTTGCAGTCACCAACGGGCTTGATAAGAGTCAGAAATACGCTGACAAGGATGGAGAGGCAGGCGCAGCGCGGACGGTCTGAACGATGTCAGATCAGCGTCCGGGTCACCGCCCGAACGAAAAGAAGTAACGTGGTTAAGAAAAGTCTCACCGCAGCAAACATATACGTGTACGTGTTACGCCTCGGATACAGCAGTGCTGCAGGCACCGTGCATCAACTCGGTTGCTTGTGGTTGAGCCCGTGACCTGCCTCGCAGCGCTCCTCAGTGGGAAGGAGCGGCGATTCATAAGCCTCCATCCGTCGCTTGGCTGCTTCAGCTGACCTCTAGTACCTTGATCTGGGCACCACACCGCCGTCGCTAGGCGTAGGAGGCAACCAGGCACAATGAACCCCGCTAAGCTGACAGTGGCTCAGCTGAAGAATGAGCTCAAGGAGCGCGGGCTGGAGCAGACGGTGAGGGCCGGCGGGTGCTTTCGGGGTTGTGGGACAGCCGGGGCCGCGAGCCAGGCAGCAGCAGGGACTAGAAAACGGTGGTACGATCTTGGAGGTCACGTGAGTGCAGGGTGCTTGGACGAAGCAGCAGGGTGCGTGCGTACAAGCGGCAACACCGCCCTCACAGCGGTTGCTGCGGACGCGCGGCGGCTCCCTGCCACCTCAACACACGGCAGGGCCTAAAAGCTGAGCTGATAGAGAGGCTGCAGGGCGCACTTGATGCCGAAGCGGCGGGCGACGGCGGTGCTGGCGAGGGTGAGCCGGCTTCCAACGGCGATGCCGGCCCTGCCGGCGAGGCAAGCGCTGATGCAGGCGCTGACGAGGGCGCCGACGGCCAGCAGCAGGAGCAACAGCAGCAGCAGGGAGAGGAAGGCGGCGACGCGCCGATGGCCGAAGCCGAGCAACAGGAGGGGCCGGCCGCCGACGACGGCGATGGAAGCGGGCAGCCGCACGAAGAGGTCCAGCAGGACCAACAGCAGCAGCAAGAGCAGGAGGGCGATGCCGGGCCGCAGCAGGCGGATGCGGGCGACACGGCCGACGCCGCCAAAGGCGAGGAGGCCCTCTCACCCACTGCCGCGGCCGCAGCCGCCGCCGAGGCTGCGGCGGAGGCCGCCGCCAAGGCGGAGGCCGCCAAGCAGCGCGAGCGGGAGCGCGAACGCGAGCGCGCGCGCCAGCGCGAGCGCGAGCGGTCGCCGTCGGGCCGGCCCAAGGGGCCGCGGGCGGAGCTGCCCAAGCCGCCGTCGCTGCCGCTGGGGCGCGCTGCGGAGTGGCAGCGCATGGAGATCCCGCAGGCTTGGATCCCGCAGCCGCTGCTCAAGGTGAGTGGCGCATGCGAAGCGCAGTAACTGTGTCCCCCCCGCCCACACACACACACACACACACACACACACACACATAAACACCCTGCCTGACATGCGCTCACATCAGCTGTCCTTGAGCTGCCGGTTGAAGCCGCCCCCTGCGAGCAGCGGCCGCCCGTGCTCGCTGCCCTGCTGCTAACGGTGGCCGACTCTGTGCCCCCTGGCCACGCGCGCCGCTGCCTGCCGCCCCTTCCAGGTGAGCCCCATCCCCGCCGAGGCGACGGACGGCGAGGTGACCGCCGCGCTGCAGGCCGCGGGGCTGCCGCTGGCACGCGTGGACGTTGAGCCGGCCGGCGCGACCGCCAAGCGCGCGGCCTGGGTGCGCCTCGTCGCGCCCGAGCTGCCGTGGCACAGCGAGGGGTTGCCCTACCACCTGCAGCCGGCGGTGGAGGCGGCCTGCGCCGCGCCGCTCGCCGGCGCCGCCGAGGCCGCCGAGGCCGCGGCCGCGGCGGCGGCGGCTGCAGCGGCCGCCGAGGAGGGCGCCGCAGCTGCGGAGGGCGGCGCGGAGGGCGGGGAGGGCGGCGCGGCCGCAGGGAGCGGCGGCAAGCGCAAGGGTGAGGACGAGGAGGGCGGCGATGCTTCGAAGCTGGAGGGCCCGCGCGAGGGCGACGCGGCGGGCGAGGTGTATGCGACGCCGACGTCCCCGCGCCGCAAGGCCGGGCCGCTGGAGGAGGTGACCGACGGGGACGCGTGGCGCGTGGCGCGCGAGTACGCGGGCGTACTGGGCGGCGTGGAGCTGGAGGTTCGCGGGGAGAAGGTGGCCGTCGACGCACCGCTGGCGCAGGTGAGGGGGCGCGCCGCAGGGCCTTGGGTCTCAGGCCAGCGCGGCGGTGGTTGTACGGGCGGGCGGCGGCGGGCCTGCCGGTCTTGAGGCTGTGGCGCACGCATGTCGCGGCCGCCATCCGTCGCGGCGCACCCAACCCTTGCCCCAGCCAACCGTCCGGCGGACTCAACCGCCTTTGTAACCGCCTCAACCGCCCCGCGCCAGGTCTCGCTGTTTGTCAACCACCTGGCCAGCGACGACGACGACGCGCTGCTGTCAGAGATGGCCGCCTATGGCGACGTCGTCCGCGCCTTTGTTGTCCGTGCGCCCGCCGAGGACGGCAGCGGCGCGCCCGGCCGCAGCAAGGGCTACGGGTTTGTTGAGTTTGCGGTGCCGTCGGGCGCCAAGGCGGCGCTGCGGGCGCTGGAGGAGCGATATGATGCGGAGAGGAAGCGGCTGAGGGCTCTGGAGGACGCGTATTACGATGAGAGGGTCAGGTGCGTGCGTGTGCGTGTGTGTGTGTGTGTGTGTGTTTGTGTGTGTGTTTTGATGTTGACACAGCAGTTGACAATGAGGCTTTCCAAAAGCTACCCAACAAGCACTCGTGCAGCTTTGGGTGAGAAGCTCTAGACCAATTTCATGACCCGGCCTTGCGGAAGCCGGCGGCACGGGCCGGCATGGCACCACCCCAAAGGTGGCGCATGAGCAGCCATCTGGTGTTCGAGGTGCCCGCCGCGCCACACCACTGCCGCCGCCACACTCCCGTCGGCTGACGCCGCTGCCGTCGCAACCCCTGTCGGCCCCGCACCCTCTGTGTCACCCCGGCACCCTCCCGCAGCCTGCGCCAGCGGCTGCACGACGAATTGAAGAAGAAGGAAGAGGAAGAGGAGGCCAAGGCTAAGGCGGAGGCAGCTGCCAAGGCGGCTGCCGAGGCTGAGGTAAAGGCCCAAGCCGAGGCGGAGGCGAAGGCGGCGGCGGAGGCCAAGGCGAAGGAGGAGGCCGAGGCAAAGGCGGCAGAGGCGGCGGCAAAGGAGGGCGAGGAGGGGGCCGAGAAAGAGGAGGCCAAAGAGGGTGGCGAGGATGTTAAGGAGGGCGGAGACGTGGCCGCAGCGGCCGCGGCGCCAGTGCCAGCGGCTGCAGCGGCGCCTGTCAAGTCGCCCGCGCCGGCCAAGTCCCCCGCGGCCGGGCGGCACGAGACGCACGCGGAGCGCGCGCGGCGCGAGCGCGAGGCGCGGGAGAAGCAGCGGGAGGCGGAGCGCGCGCAGAAGGAGAAGGACAGGGAGAGGGAGCGGCGGCTGCGCGAGGTGGTGGCGGAGGAGGTCGCCAAGCTGGCGCCGCCGCCGGGGCCGGAGCAGCTGGTGGGGGGGTGCGCGGCGCGGGGCGCTGACGGGGCCGCTGCATCAAGCAGGGGGCCCCATAAACGTTCGCGCGCGGCCGCATCGTCCCTGCCTCTTTGTTTCCCGCGGCCCCTTGTCCGACGCGACACGCAGCGCTGGTGTTGAACTAGCAATCACCCTATCTCATCAAACACCCCACCTTTTGCACTTCAAGCCTCGCACACGCACATGCGCGCGCACACCTACTTTCACACACGCACGCACGCACGCACCCGCCCCCTGTGCCCCCACAGCTGACGATCCGCCGCGCCGAGTGGAGCTACCCCCGCACCGTGCCGGAGCTGTTTGCGACGCAGCTGCACGTCGCCGGCCTCGCACGCGGCAAGCCCGTGTCGTCGGACGACGTGAGGGGCGTGTTTGCGCACTTTGGCTGGGTGCACGCGGTGTACGTGCCGCGCGACCAGTACAGGTGGGGGTGCGCACGCGCATGGGAAGGAGGGGGCCGCGGGTGGCCAGCTGCCGTTGGCACGGGCGCTGCGGCTTGGGACGCGCGGGGCGTGGGGGTAAATGAGCGTGCGTTGGCTGCCCTGTTGCAAGGCGGGTGCGGCTCCTTTGTTCATGCCGCGCTCTTTGCACCTACAGCGCCCGCGCTGACCCGTGCGCGTTGTCGTCACTCACGGTCGACGCGGGCCCACGGAGCGGCACATACGGGCTCACGCACTGACACATCAATGCAGCGCACACATACACACACTCATGCACGCACGCGCGCGC